AAGGTGGGACTGTTCTCCCAGAAAAAGAGAGCCCTGGGCCTCGAGACGCTGTTGGCAGAGCCCCCGGCTTCTATCTTCCCCCCAGGAAAGGACGCCCATTTCCCTCCCCCTCCACTGACAACTGGTAGGCGGGAAGGTGCGGCCTGAACACAGAGGTGCCAGAACCCAGATGCCCCAGGGGCTGCTTCACCGGGGAGAATGCGGAACTGCTTCGGTTTCTGTCGACTTCAACTTAGTAGCAGAGAAAGTCAGAAAAACCAAATACTTTACTTGAGTCCATGTTGTTTCTGCGCCTGGGCTGTCTCCAGCGCTCACCAACCCTGTGTCATCTGCAGCCACCGGTGGCCCGGCAACAACAACCTGCGGTTAGGGATCGGCCCACTACACACTTGGGAGGTAGAAGGGCCCTTGCTAAAGGCAGATTCCCGACTGCTGAAGGCAGATCTGGGCCCCAGATCGTCCGCACGGTCTCAGGTGACCCCCCCCCCCCCCCCGGGGCCTTCATGTTTGTAAAACACAGTGGCAGCTCGTTCTCTTGGTTGAATTTCAAAACCTACAGGAGAAGGGATTGTCTCCCTCCTCACTGCTGCCAGCTGCTTAGGAGACTACTCGGAGGAAATGTCCATTGCAGGAGACGGCCGGGACTCATCGCCTCCCTCTGGCAACAGCCACAGCTCCAGCACCCCGGGGAAAAGAAAGCTCTGGGTGTCTGCCTGTGGTAAGACGGTGGGATGAACCTTTCTACGTTTCGGGCATCTCTTTTTACTTCTTCATTCAGGTAGCTCTGTCATACCACAAGCAGCACTGTCAGCCCTCCAATGAATTTAAAGCATCCAGAAAACCCTTAAATGCCACAGATGACAAGGTCACGGAGACTGGGGTAACCCCACAGGTGCTGCCGAAGATGCCCGACCTGAGGAAAGCCAGGTCTGGGCCAAGATGCTCTTGGCCCGTAGCATCTTTCCCTTCCTCTGCCCCGTCCTCCTCACCCCCCAACCCCCGCCTTCCCTCGCTCCCCGCTCCACCTCTTTCTTTTTCTCTGTCAGACTCGCCTTCCCACGTCAACTACTTCGATTCAATCTTTGCCCAAACGGTGAGTGATATTTTTCTTTCATTCCAAGCTTCCCTCACAATTTAAGAAATTCTGTCTTTCTAGGGAAGAATTTCTTAGACTTGCAAAGTCACAGATTGTTTGGAAAAGAAGCAAACCGACTGTTCCTCACCGCACTCCAGTTACAGTGCCTTAAAAGACGTCTTTTCCTGAACGTTATTTCACACCGACTTCGCGAGTGCGCTCCCTGGTCAGGTGTGCGCTCGGCCACCTGCCGCCTGCTCCCTGCCTTCAAGCACCGTCTGTCCCCAACATGAAGTCTCGAGAGACATCTTCAAGTAACATGTTACAAACATGATGACCACAGAAGAAACGAAGGTGGTCACGCTTGGAAATGCCACAGGAGAGAGGCGGCTTCAGTGTCTGAAACGCTACGATGTACGTCTCAGTCAAGAGGCCTCTTTTACACACCCCCTCCCCCAATGTAGAATTGTCTGACACAAAAGGCTTTCAATCACGGGTGTGTTCTCATTGGTGTGAGTTCACACTGAGGGACGTGCCAGCTGTTGGGGTTCCTGTCCCGAAAGCCTCAAAGCCACGGGCCCTTCTTCGGCCCTGGGTCTCACGAGCCAAACATCAAGTTGGTCATTTTAGCCTGAGCACTGGCTTAAAACAAAGTTTTTCATGTCCCGGGCTTAGCGCTTTCTTAATTTTTTTTTTCTTTAAATCTGAATTTGACTGGAGTTTTCCTTTTAAAAAATTAACTGGGCCTAGCTCAAAACTTTTTGGTTGGGTCATTCATGCTTGCCCTGGCTTTTAAAAGTCAAAGTACACCTGCTCCGTGCACCTTAATAAGAATTAAGACTGTTAAATACCCGGTTATAAATCAACCTTTTCCCAGATGACTAAAACTTATCTCAGTATTTCTTTCTTTTCAGATAGCAATAATCCTGCCTCAGCTAAAACGTCACTGGCTCCTCCACAGCCTGTGCAAAGTTTTCATTTTTATTGTTTTTCTAGAATCTCCAAAAGGCAGCAGATTGTTTCAAATTATAGTTTTTTAATAGTGGCCTCGGAATGAAGTCCTGGAGGTTTTCGTTATCTGCTTATAGCTCCTTGTTAGAACAGGTGTCAGACCATCTTAGAAAAAGTCTGGCGCAGGGGAAGCTGTTATAACTGCAGACTTCAAGATGTAAGGTAAGGAGGCAGGTTGAGGATGCTCCAGTTACATCTTTTCTCCTTACTACCTGGGAGACTTCCAGCAAATTCTTAAATAGTTAAGCATCAGTTTCCTTAGTTGAACAGTATTTATTTAGTAAAATAGCTGTGAGGGTTGAGTGAACTAAGACTGATGGAACAGTGTTATATAAATAAAACCATTTTTATTATTATTATTGAGGTGACCTTGGTTTATGACACAGTATATGATTCAGAGAGACAGGACCACATCCCATTGGTGTGTGTTACCGCACCACACCCACCGCCAGGCACCCACAGTCCACCACTGGGCCTGCTCTCCACCCTCCTCCTTCTCCCTGATAGTCTCAACTGTCCAGTCAGGGTTCTAGAGATTATCGGTTTGGTTTTATCTGATCTTTTGTTTTGTTTCTCTATATTGCACGTATAGTAGAAACAGGTGGGATTCTTATTCTCCTTCTGATTACTCACTTAGCATAATCCCCTCCAGTTCCATCCATGTTGTCACAGATGATAAGCCTCATCTTTTTTAATAGCTGAGTAGTATTCCACTGTGTATCTAGACTATATCTTCTTAATCCACTCATCTGCCCCGGGGCACCTGGCGATCATAAACTGAGCTGCATGCCATTAATACTAGATGACTACTACTACTATTAGCACCACTACTTCATAAGTAGAACCTTTGTCACATAATATGATAATCGTTATGCATGCTGCTACCCTATATTATTATTTTAATAGGTTCTCAGTAGCCATGCACTAAATGATTAAATGTGGGAAAAGTCATTCTTCATACTGACATATTTGAAGCTCACATTTTGTTGAGTAGAAATAAGCAGAGTAATTTAACTATGTGGCATTAGTGAGAACTAATGCACTGGACTTTCCCTGAAGTCCTTGTCCTACACAGTGACCAGGGATTATCAGGGCCTGGCCTGGGCAGACAGGATCTGTTAGGTAGGGGCCAGATGAGCAGTGTGCCTCTGATCAAAACTTGGGGTCAGAGCAAAGAGTCAAAGAGGGGAAACGTATGTGTGCAAGTCAAAGCATAAAGTCAACAAGGGTCAGGGGCAGAGCCCAGAACTGCCAGGACACAGCAGGTCAACACTGAGCCTGACGCTGTCCCCAGAGGAGTCTTAAGAGCAGGTGTTTGCCTATCGCCAGATCCCTGATACCTGATTCCCAGGGGGCGGCAGAAATCAGATGCCAGGACAGAACGACAGAACGGGACCAACATCCTTCTTACCCTCACCCCGGCCAACAGCTCAGATGGTAACAAGCAACACTAGCCCTAGGTTTTAGGCCTACATGTACTCAAGATGACCTTAAAAAAAACACAGGCATCCTTTTGCCACCTCATCACACAAAACTCAGAAGCAAAAACGGATAAAATAAACATTTACATTCCCCCTATATCAACACATACCCAGAGCACAACAGTGAGGTAAGATTAAGCACAGTCTGAGAACCAGAGGCCGTGGCAGCTACTGCTTCTGGTAATTTCTAAGTATCTCAAAGATTACTTGGGGTGAAAAGAAACAAAACTAACTAACTAACATGTCAGGTCAATAAAACGAACTTGTATTTGAAATACAGCATCTCCAGAAAAGTTTCTCTGCATCCATTTTTCCTACAGGGGTTGGGGAACGCCAGCTTGATCTTACCGAACGCTACAGCCACATGGCCCGAGAGAACACGCTCTGCGTAGCGTGGACCCAGGTCTGCAGGCTGGGCCACCCTACAGGGGACTGAGTGGAGGTCTCGAATCACAGGGGCCTGGTTTTTGTTCACTGCACGGGGGTCCCCAGCCCCCACTTTATTTCTTGGACAGGATTTCCCAGATTTGTCAAAGAAAACACATCCCACTTCATGGGAGTCTCCAGGGAAGGGTTCTTTTGAAGCTGCACATTTGTGCATGTGTGTGTAATGGGCATATGTTTTGATGTATTTTTTAATTGATGCTAATTAAGTTTTAAAGAATTTATATGAAGATGACATGCAGTCCCAAATAGAGGCATTGTTTTTTGGAGGCGATAGATTCAATCTATTCATTTTTGCTTAAGGGAGCGTGGAAAGAAAGACTTTCACCCAAGTCCCCATTGCTAGGCCTGTGGCAGAAATGAACTCCAGCTGCATTAGAATACATTTGCATAGCCCATCTGCATGTGAATATTCGTAAGTGGTAACGACCCCAGAGGAAGCTATGTGACTGGAAAAGCTCCACTTCCACCACACATGAACACAAAACAGAGACTTACTTAGACTTGCAGCAATATACATTTTAAAGTTGAATGTATTCTCCCAGCCAAATATTTTCAAAATTGGAATTCTTATTTTTAAAAGAACTAAGCTTTTTTTTAACTTTTCTCATTGTTTGAATCCACGTTGTTTCATTTAAAAATATGTTTTACAAGAAACTCTCGAAAACAAGTGTATTTCTGAATAAAAACAGAAATGATTATATTAGCATCAATTCTTTGAAAATTGCTTGATTTTCTATGAACTGGGGCATTTTTAAAAATGAAGCGAATGTACGACTTTGAGATATAAAAGCAGCGTTCCGCCAGCAATCCTGATATTAACAAACATCCCCGAATGATGAATCGCAGTCCCTTCCACACTCTAGTGAAGACCGAAACCCAAAGCCAAATGGCAGACTGTGTAGACATCAGACTTATTTTTGGCTCTGTGGCTACTGCTAGGTTGCGAACACTGAGTGGGTGGCCACCGGCCTTGGCACGGTACTTACTGATGGGTAGAGGTAACCTTCTCCATTCATGGCGATGTACAGGCCTGTCTTCACGCCCTGGATGGCAACCACACGGAGGCCCACAGGGATGAGGTTGAACAGTGCTGAAAGACAAACACCGCGGTCACCCAGCGCCAGAAGGAGGCAGCCTGCCCTCACTGCGTCTCCTCGCCTTCGCTTAAACTACACGCGTCTCTGTGACAACCTCCTGAGAAATCCCAACACGTCCGCTTGCATTTCTCTTTTTCCTTCACAAGTTTCTGCTAGGGGTTGGCATTTGAGCTCTGGTTTGCAGACTTTAGTGGTCTGTCTGTAGTGTTCTGCGGGACGTGGTAGATAAACACTCACACCTGGAGCTAGGGCTCCAACATCACAGACTCTGACATCATTTGATGCCAAGAGAGATCAGCTGTGAAGCTTCTCAAAGAGTAGGACTGAAGAAATCCCGGTGGTTCTATGTTCTGGCCTTTGAGGCAGAAAGTCTGCTTCATCATGGCCGTGTGACGCGGGCCAGAAAGTAAAGAGGTAATTCCCGAGCTAAATCACTCTCGCAAGGCCAAGGGGGTGTGCTGGAAGAGCCGGGGAAAGACGTACACCTGCCACTGTGCTAAATTTAGAAGGCACGAATGCCACCGCGTGGCATGCAAATACGAGACAGTTTTCTTTATTAATATTTCATCAAACTTTGCAGGGAGGCTGAAATAAAAGGGAACGGTGCTCGATTTTCCCACCTAAGACTTCACTCATGTTTCCATGTTTTGTTTCTTACCTTACTAACAGAAAAAGAGTCTGTAAGTTTACTTTGGCCTGATACAGAGAGCAAGTTTATACATTTTTGAAACAATTCTTAACATCCTTTAATGCATTTTCATTCAGTGTTACAGTGGGTGCTGTAGCCTCGTTCTTAGTGAAAACTGCTCGATGATTTGGGATGTCTGATCATAAACACAAGATAGACATTATCATCCACAATAAGCTTACCAACTGCTAGTCAAGTTCTTAATTCAAGTTCTATTTCTAAACAATGGGGCCAGCTTAGCACAGGCATCATATGTGCTGAAATATATACGTAAAATGATGTTTAGTGTATCAATTATCGTTCATTTTTAAAATGTGGGCAGGCCTACTCATAATTAAGGTGGACTTCGTCAATTGTGTTCTACCTAATTCCCAGACACATGTTGTCACTGAATCGTAGGGGGAAAATAACATTCTCTCTCTCAGGGTATGCCATGTGACAATCCCAAGACCCCAAGAGGCCCATGCTACACAGAAGCGACAGGCGGGGGCAGCCCCCTAGAGAACCCCCTAGGGTACTTGGGGGCAATTGTGAGTGGTGGATTTGAGCTCTCACTGACATTGGGCTACCTCCTGCGGGATGCTAGGGCTTATGTTATCTTCATGGAGAAATGAGGCTTCGGTTTTCTTGTTGTTATTATTTAATATTAGCCATGATTTAATATTAAACACAAACACAGGTGTTGGGTGGCAAGAGGTACCAGGGTCACTGAACTCTCAATGTCCCTTCTTCGCGGGAGGAGGCCAAGCCCGGGCCGTCTTCAGGATCCTGGAGATCAGCTCCAGGGTCCCACCTCTCGGACTTGGAAAGGTTGCGGACACAGGGCAATTCTGATGTATGCACAGAAGTTCCTGTGGGAAGCAGACTTGCCTGCCAGTCTAGCCCAACTTACCCAACCTAATTATCCTGCCCTTTCTATGCCCCTCACGGTATCTTAGGTGCCCTGTATGATACGGCCAGATGGCATTATTGTAGCAAGCAGGTGCACTCCCCAAAGTAATGCAGCAGAAAAACAAAATTTATAAAAGGTAGTCTAAAATGACCGCATGCACACAAACGAACAACCTGTTTTCCTCCCCCCAGAATTTTGTTTTGGACCTATTATAAATACAAATTGTTATCATTTATGGAATAACATAAAGTGAATCCATGTGGGAGCAAATTGTGAAAATTGTGATGGTTCTAAGGTGACAATTAAAGTCACATTAACTAAGACACATTACAATTTTTTCACTCTTTTTGGAATTTGCTTAATTCCAGAGCACTGTCACTAGGCCTGGGGTCAGGACAGTGATGACACTCATGCTCCCAGACCCACTCAGCCAGCATCTCTGGCAGTGGGTGGAGGGCATGAACCAAAAGAACAGCCAAGGTGAGCCCCACCGCCCCCGCCCCCAGGCTGGCAGGGTGATGGAATCTTCAGGCAATGAGCAGGGTTCACATGATCCATGATAGTGAAGATGGTCACCAAACTGGGAATTTCGAAGGTGAGAGGGACTGTGTATGAGAGGCCCTGATAGTGCTGCATGTGGAGACCCCCTGCGGCCCTATGGTCCTATTCCACTTACAGTAGCTTTCATGGCCAGTCTTGGGGTACTGGTGCTGTGACAGAAAGGGCGCGGGAGCCAGCAGAAAGAAGGGAAGGGAAGCTCTGGGGGTCATGGAGTAGCCCTGTGCTCATACCTCGGTGAAGAACTTTTTGTTTTTAAAGATTTATTCGTTTATGCATACAAGAACTGGGGTACAGGCCAGAGGTATGTGTATGGGGGAGGTGAGAGGAGTCACCAGAAGCAGAGGAGCAGAAAGGGCAGATCCACTGAAGGACACTGCTGAGGGGAGCAGCGGGGAAACAGGAGGCATCTGGGGTACCCTGTGGGTCAGCTCCCTGACGGGGATGGAACTCACGCTGCAGTTGGCTGCAGACAGCTTCATGGTGCTGCGCTTGAACCCCCTGCACCACCATGGAGGGCCCTCGCGGCAAGAACTTTAAAGGCCTGTGGCGTTGGTAATGAGTGGGGGGTTGGTGGGACCGGGGATCCGCTCAGGAGGGCCGTCTCCGCCCTCAGCCCCGGTCTCGCCATTCTGCTCTGAAAGTGTCTAGAACTCAGGCTGGCGGCCCTGCCGGATTCAGGTTCTCTGCCTGCTGCCACTTCTCCCTCCTCTCAACTCTCCTAGAAACATTCACAAAAGCAGCTTAGCAAGGGGGCCCTCATTTTACATAACTCTAAATAATGTCGTATTTCATGCGGGTTAAGAGTTGACCAAAGTGTGGAGGTCTGCAGAGTGAAACCTCAGTGTTATCGGCTGGTCACTTCCGGGGTGGCCTCAGGGTAACTTTGAGGTTATTTCTCCTATGATGGATGATTCATCCTTGCTATGTGCCAGGGAATTATAAGAAAACATTGAGACATATTTGTGAATTCTTTCATCACACTCTCAAACCGAAAGGTGTTGTAATTAGGACCTGTCTTTCCGCATTTCTCAAGTGTGTCCTTACTCGAAAGAACACTTTCAGAGCTAATGATATTCGTAGGAGTCGTAAACCTACTGTACCGAGCAAGAGAAAAGAAAATATCTTCAAATGTATCCTACAAAAATACCGTTTTTCACTTAAGAAGGCAACAGTATACAAAAGTATAGAGTTGATTAACAGTCCCCATGGAATTTATAAAACTGTTATTATCCTGCCAGGTTTTATTAGATGTTTCTAGTTGTACAACTTTTATAGCTTTTTGAGGAGAGAACTTTTATCTGACTCTATCTTACTGTGCCTCTGTCTTTGCCAATGTTGTAATGACATCAAATTTAGTGGGCTGAAGGTTACTTAAAATTCAGAGCAACTGGAAAGCAGAAGAGATCGGGGGTCAAACCGCTACACAGGCATTTAAGCGCCTGGAGAGTGATTTGGGTCTGATTGATTTCTATAAGGGGTTCCTGCTCCTGCTCTGTTCCAGAACTTTCATCACCAGCATTTGGGTGGATCAGAAGGGACTGAAGGGTGACCAGAGTCTCGCTCCTGCTGGCACAGAGGAGGACGAGAGACGCCCCGAGCAGGCAGTTACTCGCTTTCCAGCTTCGTCACGGATGCTATTCAGAGAACCAGGTACAGTGATGTGTGCGTGAGCTGCTGTCTACCTCTGCATGTTCGCAACTGAGTAAATACTATACTGTTCGTTCAATTCTGAAGCAAGATGATTTATTTTTAATTCACTAAACCTTTCTTCGAGGGAAATTATTTTTCCAAGTAGTCAAGTAAGCATGTTTTGGCCATTGTACTTTAATCGCTCTCTTGAAAACTTTTGTCACAATGGATCGCTGTGGACTCTTGGCTGATAAATCACAGTCGTAGCTCTGACAGTGAACAGAGTCAGAAAACCTGTACTCTGTCCCACCTGGCTCTCACCAAGGGCCAACAGAGGACAGTGGACACAGGACTTAGGAATCCCTAGTGGTCAAGGCTCTACAATTGTAAGACATTACTCACAGGGAATGCCTTTCTTAAAGAGTGAGTAAGGACTTATGATTAGCAAAAGGATACAAACAGATCTAGAAGTGTTTACTTGAGCCAGAAGAAACTGACATTTTCTTTTTAGGAGAAAGGTGGTCAAGAGTTGGTCATTCTAAAAGGCTCGACTGTCAAAACCACAAGTAAGGAATGTTGGGCACTGAACTTACGAAGGAAAGTAACTCCTTTTTCTCCCCTATGTTTGAATTTCTTTTTTCCTAAGTCAATAGAGGACATAAAACAAAAACAAACAATAAACACATGTGATCATGAAAAGTTCAAAATTACGAAAGGACAATAAAATAGGTATACAGGGGAAAAATAGAACTTGAAAAAGGAAGAACATGCTGATGATCAAAGCAAAAGGAAAGAGAAAGGAAAGTTTTTAAATGAGGAAATGTCCAAATTCTAAAATATAAATAAAATGGCTGGAATAATAATGACATTTCACATGACAATAATGAACACAGAAATATATTTTATATTGTTAGAAGCCCTCAGAATCAATGTTATTAATGTTATTAAGAATTGACTACTAGCATTTTGATTTTAAGATGCCAGAAAATGCTTCTACTTGGGTTACCTGTACTCAGAGTTCCCCTCTTTCCATAAAATGACGCTCTACATGTGAAGGAGTGATATGTGGGTGGAAAGATTCATACCCACTTCTATCCCCCTAGCAATGTAATTCAATATTCCTAATGAGCTCAGTTTTTCTCTCCTCTAGAAAATGCAGTTGTAAAAAGTGTTTCTTAAGAAGTGGTATGCTAAATAAAAGGAACCAGATCCCAGAGTATGGAGAATGGGAAGGGAATACAGACAATTGAGTAAGGAGGGGCACCAGAATGAAAATACAAAGCCAACGAAATAATAAAATGAAGATAAATGGCAATACAGTGAGAGATGGGTGGTGTTTTAATTTCTATAAAGTAGTTAAACATTTTGAATATAACAAAGGCACACAGCCTTTCTCCCTATGAAGAAAGGAATTATCTTTTCTTGCTGAATGTAAAGAAGAAGTTGATAATATTTGTTTCTATTATTGAAACAACTAATGTGTCTGGCCCTTGACTCTTCACAATTATCACTAAGAAGCTACAGGCCTATATCATGTGTGTGTGTGTATCCAAAGAAAACATGTAACGAGTGTTCATTGGGGTGCACTGGTGCATTTAGTTGACTTTGTGGTAATGAGATTAAAAATGAACAATAATTGCCTGGATATGACAACTGTTTGGAAAGAAAAGAAACTGTAATTATCTGCAATGACAGATTCTTTAGTTGTGCTATTAATATCTGCATCCATGTGGTTCAAGTAAAATTGTAAACGGCACGCTAGCATATGACATGTTAAAGTGTACCAGCAGAACCAAGTATTCGCAAGTGTGCTGTAAAAGCTGTGTCAGCAGCAGGAGTCCTCCAGCAGCTGTGTTAACTGGCGCTGGGGGTCACTTACTAGAATTCGTGCTGTCATCCTTGGTCCCGTCGAGAGCTCCATCGGGGTGCATTTGCAAGTAGTAGCCTTGCCTGCAATATAACCTGGTCACTATACCCTTGAGCTGGGGATCTGAAAGGCAAACACAGTTATCATAAGCCTCACAACGTCACAGTAGAATTTCTCTTTCATTTTTTGTTTCATTTTTTTCCTTTGACACAAAGGACATACTTCAGTATTTTTTAAGTCCTTATTTTTTGCATCTCCCAGACCCCCCTGCATTTTAGCAAACCTGGATTCCATTAACCATGGAACGTGCAGAAAATGCAGTTGTTAGCTGCCTTTGACAGTTACAGAACATCGGTGAGTTTTCAAAATGAATGTCTGTATTTAAATAATTACACTAATCCATCTACTCATTTAATTATTGGTTAAGTCCCAAAGAAATTAGCTTAATGGTTTGGCATCACTCAGGATGACAGGACAAGAGCTTTGCAAACTGGCTTTAAGAAAATTTATTAACTTTCAAATATAATTTTCTTTTTACTTACTATGACAAGTAATCCTCACATAAGAAAAAAAATGTATTAAAAAAATCATATGAATTTTTTGAGACACCCTCTAGTGAAAGCCCAGAGGAAGCAAATGTCTTCTTCACTTTTCAAGACCCCCCCCCCAAACTGGCCTAGAACTATCTGTGCTGTTTTCATGACCCCCAGGGAGAGGAGAAAATGGACTGAACTCAGGGTGCAGCAGGCCAGCCAGCCCACCCCGGAGCAGCGCTGAGTCCACAATGCAGACAAAGCCAGCCAGGCAAGCAAACGGTCTTGTTAATTTATACAATCAAAAAACAGATTAAAATTATGAGGCTATCTGCAGCTACAGCAGCACGAGTTCAATCCCCGCTCAGGGAGGGGCCCCACGTGTTACAGCAGACCTCTCCCGTGTCCCCATTGCTCCCCTGAGCAATGGATTTCAGTCCATCTACCAGTTCTGCTTCCCACTCTGTCTCTGGTGAGTCCTCTCAACCCCCCGCACTTCTATCCTGTAGCCCAGTTCTTATATGCATACGCAAAGAGATTTTTAAAAAATAAAATAAAACGGTAACATATGGGTTTTGATTCTTGGCTAACAGGGGTGCAGGGGCTATGGAAGAGTATGCAAACAAAAAGGGGAGCCAAAGGATGATGAACTCCCCATCAAATGATTCAGTGAGAAGATCGTCACTCTGGTAACACACAGCTTTAGCTGTACCTTTGAAAATAAATATTTGCATGTGGCTTTTAAAAGGCCACCTCCATTTCATGCATAGATTTGAGGTGGGACATCCTAATCCTCACCATGGCAACAGGCGACTCTCTGCAGTTGCCGAATGCAATATGCAGATGTACCACACTGTACAAACAGTGGGCACCCCAGACTGGTGAAGCCAGCATCTTGCAATAGCTAGAAAAACTGTGGCCAACGCACAGGTGACCAAAAATATACGCATATTGAAAACAAACTGTTCAAAATAGAAAATCCCTAGCTTTTCTATGTGCATATGATATAAATATATACTAATTTGAAAAATGACTCCATTATACACAGATGTCCTTCAAAGATAGACGATTAAAGAAGATGCTGGAAAACAATGCATGCCCATCCACAGCATCACAACATCAACTAGTACTGTGTGACTAAAGATATTACACTGTGGATGCTTTTAGAAGGCTAGGACTTTAGAATGAAACATCTAGGTGATTATTTGAGCTTACGTTATGTCCATCCCTTGTTTTGTAGTATGTAACTGTCAAAATCATAGCAACCTAATCTGTGCCACAGTTACAGATAATTACTATTGCATTTCAGCCTACTCATCATCTGATAAGGTTTGGGGGGGCTAACAATCCCCTAACACTGAGAACTTTCCCTAGCTCTGCTGCATCACCTTTCTGCTCTTCACTGAAAATAAGTAGCACAGAAGAGAATGAAAGTAAAAAGGAAGAGAGGAATTTTCAATCACCACTAACGTACAGAGAATTTCAAAGAGAGATTGACAATCTTTGTGAAAACCTTTATATCCTGACATAACTTATTTTAATAATTCTAAATTTTCCCCACTGCATCTCTGGACTTGAAGTAAGTAGGTCAGGTAAGGCAGCAAGAAGACAGGCGGCCCACAGCCACCTTACACTTAGATGAGAGAACCCTTCTCTTCTGCTTTCACCAAGACAAGCGGAAAGTGTTGGCCAGGATGAGGGAAACAGGGCAGTCTGCACATTCTTAATGGGAACGTCAGACAGCACAGCCATTATGGAGCAGAGTTTGGAGGTTAAAAACTGAACTGTCATTTGACCCAGCAATCCCACATCTAGGTGTATACACAAAGAAGATAAACCAGAATCTCTGCCTGCATATTCATGTGTGCTGCAGCATTATTCACAACAGCCACAAACAGAACAGCTCAAGTGTCTGTCAACATATCACAGAAAAAGAATGGAAGATGTATAGTGGAATATTACTTGGCCCTTAAAAAGAAAGAAATCTTGAAACATTCACTAACCTGGAGGATATTAAGCTCGAAAAGCCCATTTCTGAGAAGGGAGCTGTGCAAAATGTGAAAATGTGTTTTTTGAGCTCCCATTTAAAGCCAAGGAAGCAAATCCAAATTGACTTGTTAATCTAGTTTTGCATTATTTCGTAATTTTGCTTTTAGATATCATAATGGCATCTTCTGAGGTGCCGGGCTCTATTCTTACACTGGAGGATGAAACTGCTGAATCCTCATGACATTCTTGCTTGACAGGAAGCCCATTTTGAAGATAAGGAATTGAAGACACAGAGCAATTAAATAATGGGACAAAAAGCACATAACTATTAAGTGTAAAGCTTAAGTATGAACAGGATCCTACCCACTTAATTACTAAGTACAGTCCTTTATAACTTGAACAATTGAACTCAAACAGACTCAAAACCAAAAATTAAATGCAAATCCTTCTGGCTTTTTAAGAAAAACGCATTTCAAAGATTAACCCAAACACCTCATACTTTGAACTGATTATGTCATCGTAAGAGACAGTGTGAAGGCTAGAACGGCTGGAACGTCTTGATCTCTTCTAAAACCCACTCTACTTTGTCACTGGCCATATTTCCAATAAATCTCTCCCCATGAAATCCTCACCACAGTGGCAAATGTGCTGTAAAAAGCTTTGACTTCTTCCAGTACCATTCTCACTTCAACCGCCCCATCTCCACCAAGCCCAGCCCAAGCCGGTCTCCCGGCTGCCTCCGGGACTTCCGCACAGCGCCAGTCCTGAGCCGCGCGCAAGCTGGTTGTTGTATGTTCACTGCATTCCCTGGGTTGCCCATTTCCCATGGAGGCTCTCTTCACAATCTCCCTCGATCGCTTCCCCTTTCCTATGGCGCCTGCCTGTAGCCGCTCAGTCCCTGGCTGTCCTAGCCAGTCTCCCCTCCTCAGTTTGCCTGTTGAGTCCCTGTGGTCAGGAGACAGGCGGCCGCTCTTCCTGCCAGTGAGTTACTTCTCCAGCCCGGGCGGTGGGGCCAGCACGGCTGCCTGGGTGTGTTCTCTTGCGCTCCCACCTCATTCCCGGTATGTCGCTCAATCTGCGTCATCGTGGACTATTAGAAATATTCCTTTCACCTGCCCCCTTAACATGATTTCACATCCGTGCATCCACCGCATTTTTGTATTGTCAACTCTTTTCCTCCTCCCCTACTTCTGCCCATCAGCATTTTCACTGGGGTGCTTTCCGGATACCCTACAAAGGCCATGCTCCTCCTTCCAGTGGTTCTATGGCAACGTTCTTCATAGGTATAACTTCTTTTATCAATATCAAAATGATTTCATATTGAAATATTTTTTAAAAGATGTATTTATGTATGTATACAGAACTGGGGTACAGGCCAGAGGTGCAGGGGCAGTGAGAGGCTTCACCAGAGACAGAGTGGGGAGCAGAACAGGCAGATTAGCTTAAAATACACAGCTGAGGGGGAGCAGCGGTCGGGTCAGACGAAGTCTGCCACACAGTGTGGGTGATCTCCAGGCCGGGATGGAACTCATGTTGAAGTGGCTTTAGCTTCTTAGTACTGTGCTTTAACCAGCTGCACCACCAGGGAGGGCACCATATTGAAGTATTTTTAATTCATGAAGGACAAGAAACAATACAACTTATGCCCACATACCCACAACTGAGGTTAAACAGTTGCTAGCATTCTGCTTTATAATTCACGGTGTTAATGGTACATTTTTTGTGTGTAATTTTATGCTGTCTGTCACCCAATTAGACTGTAAGTGTCATGAAGAAAATGTATGATGAAATGTATGACAGAAGGTGTTGCTCTCCAGTGTAACTCCAGGGTCTGGTTAAATGGAGCCGAGAAACATACTTCTTGAATAAGAACTGCTGAGTATAATTCATCTAGTAACTTCTCATATAGCTGGTAAGAATGAAAACTGGAACAAAATCATGAAAACCATGGTGGCCATCGCAGTCAAGTCTTAAGGAGGCCAATTTTTGACCAGGCCATTGAAAGTTCCAGACTTCTAATTTTAAAATAAGTCTTGGGAATTATAAAGTTTGTGTAGTAGCATACATATATATAATATGAGCATGCCTACTGAAAACTACTATACAAAGGGAAAAATACGTGCAAGATCATACCAAAATGCCAAGTATAGTGGCATTTTGACGGCTACTGAAATATTTACTATTCAATATTTACGGCTGAAAAATTTTTTAGAAGACAGCTTGCTAATTTTATAATGAATATACAGTCTTTGGTAAAACCTCTAATGTCTCTTGAAATAATGACTAACATTTAAACATGCAAATGATATTGTATACATATATGCAAATGGCACAAACCCATCTTGCTGCTTCACATGAACTGGTTGCCCTCTCTTTCAAGGGCTCCACTTACTACTTTCTCTTCATGCACAGTCACAGAGCCAGAAGAACCTCACTTGACCCTCACGTAACAACGTCAACACTGTGCACCATGTCATTCATAGCTTAAAGTCACTCATTAGATCATTAAAACAACAGAAAATGAAAAACTTTTCCCCCAAAAGCAAAATTATACAACCCCAAAATCATGGCAAGAGCAAAGCAAAACACAGTGAAATAATT